TGCGCTACGGTAGGGGCCGGGGGGTGTGGGGGGGGTGGCTTCATTTAATCCCATGGGAACAAAAGCGCAGCGGCTTCTCAGTAAAGAGGGCAGCTGCCTATAGATGGCAACTCTGCTGCGGCAGACACGGGTGTCACCTTTCGGGTGCCATTCATGTCAGCAGTGCCCTTTTCCTGGTGCCCAAGCTGGAGATCTGCTCTTCCCGACTGCTGGGCCCCAGCTGTCAGCATCTCGCCCCAGTCTGGAGGGGGCTGAGCACTGCAGCCCCCCTGGGGCTAGGGGAAACCGCCAGCCTCCAGCACGCCCCATACACAAGCAGCTGCTTTGTTCTTAGGGATCTCCTTGGCTCCAGTGCCCTGCACCCACCCAGCACGTCCTGGGCAGCTCAAGGCAGGTGGGGCGGGGGGGAGCATCCTCCATGGGACGCTGCTGGGGCTACTGGGTGGACTGGACCCTGCACCTGCCCCCAGGGTGGGGAAGGACAAAGCCCTTGCAGAGGGCATCCCGCCTGGATCAGGCGTGGCAGTGGGAGGGGGGATGTGCAGGGAAAGGGGCAGTCTCGGCGGCGGCCAGGGCCCAAGTGGGGGTCACAGAGCTGGATCGGGCGGGGGGGGGTCAGATGGGACATACCGCGAAGGAGGCTGCGGCGCACAGGCAGATCTGCTTCATGGTGTCCAGGAGCTGCCGGGTGGCCATCCATCCACCTGCTCCAGACCTTCCCTGCTGCTGCCTGGCTCCGCAGCCCCGTGCAGCCGCCCCCCACCTCCTGGGGCTCGCTGCAGTCAGGGCAGAGGATCCGCCTCCCTCGCCCTGCCAACTGGGAGCTGGGGCAGCGCCTGCCCCCTCCCTGCGGAGAGTACCCAGGCTGGGGGGGGCACAGCCCCTGCCACCAGGCTACCACGACCCAGGGAGCAGGGACCCCCCCTTCAGCAGCCCAGAGTCGGGGCAGGACCCCAGGCGGGGAGGGGGAGTGGTGGTTCTCTGCCTGGGTGCCAAGGCACCCTGGGGTGCTGCCAGATCCTTTGAAGGGTGCCGCAGATAAAGCGAGCAGACAAGCGCAGGTTCAGACTTGCCCCTGCCTGGATGATTCCCCACCCACGACCCAGCCTCTGCAAGGAAGTAAGCGCTGCAAACAAGGCATTTGCTCTGAAATTGGGTGCTGCTCAATTCACAAAACTTACGAGGGGCCTTGAGGCCAGTGAGGCTGAGAAGCAAGGGGTTGGGGCATCTGTCTGTGCCATCAGCCCCAAATCAGCCACGACAATGTACAAAGATTTCCACCCCCAGATGGACCCCCAATAGATCCTTGATTCCTGGGGGATCTCTGTGCAGCTGGCTGTCCCACCAAGCTTGCTCCTCTTATCATTATTATTCCTCCAGTTTCCTGGCATTCTTGGAGCACTGAGGACAGCCTGTTCCCGACCAAGAGCCTGCCATGCCAGGTGCTGTACAAACATGGAACAACAGGCTGCCCCTTGTCTGAGATCCTACCGGGCAAGCATGAGATGAGGGCAGGAGATGGAAAACAAAAGGGGTCTTAAGGGAGCAGTGAGGCAGCGGGATGTGCGATAGGATGCCTGGGGCACAAAAGGTTAACCTAGTTTGGCTTCACCTTGAGCAGAGGCCCAGAGGAAGGACTTTAAATGAGCCCCTTGGAGGGGCCAGGCCATGGGGAAGGTGGTACTTCCTACCCAGCAGCACAGAAGGGAAGGAAAAACCATGATGATTCCTGGGGGTGTTTCAAATCATCCCTGTGTGTGCATTCACGGGCTGGCTGCTTCCACATACCTCACCCTACCATGATACGCAGGTTTACGGGCCACGGAAGCATTTCCATCCTTGTTGTACAGATGGGGAAACTGAGGCACAGGGCAGGCAAATGACTTTTGTGGAGTCAACAGCAGAGCTCAGATGAGCCCCTGGGAGATGTGGGTTCATCTCTGCACATGCTACTCGCCGTTGGATGTTTTCCATTCAGCAACTGGTGACAAACAACCAAGCACAGAGTCCTGCCACCCTTTAGGCGAGCCCCCTGGGTGGGCTAGGAATGAAGCCTGCAGCCTGGCATCCCTCTCTCCAGGCTAGAGAAACTGCTGGCCCTGCCTGCACTCCATTTCCCTGGGCTCCACACACCTGCTCCCCCAGGCCTTCCCACCAGCCCAGCCACAGCCTGAAGCAGGAGAGGAAGCCCAGCGGATGGGCACAGCATGCAGAAGCCTAAAGCTGCCAGGCCGGGTTCCTCCTGGATGCTGCTAAATAATGGAAGAGTGTATTGGTTTCCTGCCTCGGGGGGTTAATTCAATCGGTGGAAACCGGACTCCTTCAGCTCTGGGGATCTGGAAACCCGAGAGAGTGAGGGCTCACAGGAGCAGTTCTCTGGGCTGCAGCACAGCTGGCGACCCTGAGCCGGGGGACTGATCCCACCAGGAGTGGAGGACTGATCCCACTAAGAGCTGGGGAACTGATCCCATCTAAACACCGTATAATTTCCAGAGAGCAGACAGGACTGCCTGTGACTGTGCTGGTATCCGGGATCTTTGACCATGCAACAATTTCATGCAGCTCCTGACACCCAAGTCACTGACCTGCCAGGAGCACCACCCAGGTGCGGGGCTTTGTGCCCTAAGTCAGTGGCAGGACTGTGGCCATATGTATGCTCCATCCCAGGCCCCCCAATCCCACTTTGCCCTTGTCTTCTTCTACCTCTCATTCTCCCCTTTCCACTGGTTCCTCTGGCTGTGCCCTCTCCTGTTTCCACTGGGAATCTGATCCATGCACAGAGGCCACTGCTTCTGACCTTCATAATCACAGAGATGTTTATTAGGCCCTGGCATCCAGACACAAGTTGGGCTCCACTCCAGAGGCAGCAAAAGGACCCATCCTGAACCACAATGGGCCAAACCCTGATGCCTCCACCACTGGAAGGGAGGGCCAACTGTCCTGAGCTCTCTAGAGGGTGAATGAGTGGGGCTTTCCCTGTTCCACAGGGAGGGAAACTGAGGCACAGAGCAAGGAGGTGACAGGCCTGAGATCACTCAGCAGGTCAGTGCCAGGACTGGGGACAGTCTATTGCGCTAACACTGCAGTGCTTGGATGTCCGTGGGGACAAAGCAGAACCTGCAGGCTTGGATGGGTTGAGCGCCATGACATCTCAGCAGCCTCTCCCTGGAAAGCCCTGCTCTGCCTGCTGGGGAAGGGGCCAGGAGGGTCTGCTGCTTCACAGAGGCAGGGAGATGGGAGAGGATCTTCCAGGAGAGAGAAGCGAGGGAGGAACTTGAGGGAGGAATGCTTGGAGCAGCCAGAGCGGTAACAGGTACATGCACCCCAAGGTGACAGGAAGGGGCAGTGGCCTAAAGGCAGAAGACAAGGGATTGCGGAGGCTGCTATGGAGCCTGGCGACTGCAAGACGAACCAGCTGCCGATGCCTGGAGTAGTCAAACTTCATTACAACTCCCCCACCCTGGAAACGTTTCGGGGGGGGGTGTTTCCTGCTTCAAGCCCTTCCCAGCTGATGGCGTGCAGGAATCTCCCAGTGACTCATAGGGGATGGAGGGGGGGGTTTAGGGGCTAGCCAGTGCATTATCTGCCTGTGGGAGGGGAGGAGAGGGGGTGTTGGAGGAGCAGTTCCCGTACTTGGAACAGGCACCATGGGATTTTAAATGAGCACAAGCACTCGGGACCTCTCTCTCACTTGTCAGTGGAAAAAAACACCCGCTCCAGCAGCCGAGCACTGGTTCATGGGTTCATCATGGTGCCCCCGACCGACTGCCCTCAGATACTCACATCACTCTTCTTAAACCTGGCCCGCAGGCTCTTCATGGTGGCTTTGTCCCCGTGCTCTGGGCTGCAGGGGGTAGATCTAAACGGGGGATACAAGGAAGCTGTAAGATCCTAGCAAAACTCTGGCCCTTCATTGGCAGTCTCACAATCAGTCTCAATATCTTCCTGTCCCTCCTGCCCTGAGGGTCCTGATACGGGGTGCTCACCATGTTCGAGAGGGGAGAGGGCTGGAATGGCATTACATGTGGCATCAGACCACGGCCCTCCACCAGCCAGCTGCAGGGCATGGACGATGGGCACTGTAGGGGCTCAAGGCTCTGTAGGTACAGACAGGACACTCAGCCCCAGGCAAAAGTTTTGGCTGACTTTATTTTGGCCCTGACCCTGCAGGATAACTCATGTTAAAGGTCCCTCCAAGCTGCCGGTCTCTGACCAGAACCTCCTCAGCACCTGGGAGCTCACCTTGGTGCCCAGGCGTGTCCCAGCCATGGAGGGAGGAGACCTCCTCTCTGTGCCTGTGCTAACACAGCCCCCACCACAACAGGGGTGCTAGAGGCTGGTGATGCCACAACTGGAATATAGATGGAGGGGCCAGGTGGAGCTTGTGGCATTTGCCCTGGCTATTGGGTGCGCTTATGTGCCTGGGACAGAGCGCCGAGTCCCGAGACAGGGCGCTTCCTGCCTGTGCCTCTGTGGGAAGGGGAGAGGCTGGCAGTCTGGCTGGCCGTACTTCTGCAGCCTCCACCTCTGCAGACCCCATCCAATGCCCAAGACCTCCCTGCCCACGAATTCCTGACCCTCGTGTCCACAATGCCCCGAGGAAGAGGCGGAGGCTGGATGGGTGTGTGGGCGGCTGCTCCCTTGTCACCTCGTGCCTCTGGGCAAAATTCCTCCCTGGACCCCTTTGAGGAGTACCGGGCCCCGCCCTGGGTCTAGCCCTGTAGCCTTGTGTTTGCTGCCAGCAGGGCTTCATGCCCCCACCCTCCAGCCTCAAGGTAGCTCGACAGCCCCCACAAAGGTACCAGTCTTTTGGGCAGCTGTTTATTTCAAATGCATGCGCCCCTTCTCCACCCGCAGGCTCTTCCTGCCCCCCCTGCTTGAGAACACCGGAGAATGCCTCCCAAGGAGGCATACGCCTCCACATGACTTCAGTGTGGGCTCCCCAGGGCCTGAGGCACAGGCAAATTAAGGGTCCCCCATGGCAAAGAGACAGAAACCAGGAGTGCTCATCCTCCATCCTCTCGTCTAACCTCCCCCCAGCCCTGCCCTGCTGCACAGCCCTCTATGCCGCGCTGTACCATGCTGGCACCGGACAGGAACCCAGCCTGTTGGCATTGCTGTCAGGGCCATTACTTTTGCCTAGGGACCTGCCTCCTTGCCAATCTAGGTGTTTGCATTGGCTCTGGAGCAGTCTCCCAGGATGTCAGAGCCCCTGGGAGCCCCTGCACTTGTACAGAGCAATGAATGACTTCATATATTAGCCCTGACTTGTTCAGCTGCAGCACAAGTCCCTCAGTCCTGATTGCAGATGTGTGAAACCTGCAGCTCCAGGGCTACCGGACTTTGGCCCAGTCTCGCATCTCCCCTCCAAGCCCCATCCCTACCTTGCTGATACCGTCAGGTGCAGCTCGGGCAGGTTCTCACTCCTCCGTTACACGTTCAGTGCCGAGGGCAGAACAAACTCTGAAGAGTCTCCTTACTTCTGTCCTGATTGATGGGAGCTCACCGTATCAGAGGTGGCCCAGCCCGGGTGAGGCTGTGTCACTGCGAATGAGGAGAAACCAGGGGAGGGACATCGCTGCACTGGGAATTGGGTTACTTACCTGCTACAGGTACGGTTACCTTGCTACAGCGGGCTGCAGCTCAGCGCTGCACGGTGTCCAGGGCACTACATTACTCTGGAGCTGTGTCTCCATCTCTGAGCATCTCCATAGTCCTGACTAGCCCAGATGTCACAGGTGCAGAGCACTTCTCATCATCAGGCCCTCCATACCCCTCAGGCTCCCCACTAGCTCTGGGAAGCCAGGGTAATTATTCTCCGTGCATACCATACCTTTAAAGATCCTGGAAAGCAGCAGCAACAAGCAAGGGAATGGAGGGTCCTGTTCATGGACGGCCTCTAGGCCCTGATCCTGCAACAGGCTCCATACCTCGCAGGGACATCCCCCACGGAGCAGCCTGGGGACTTGGTTTGTAGAGCTAAAGGTTCCCCTTGACCTTTAGCGTGCAAACATGACAAGATGTTGCCCCGTGATTCCTTTTCTTTTCTCTAAGGCTTTGATAGAGCTGAGGGACCCTCCCACAACCCCTGGGAGGTAGCTATTGTTTTTTTCTGCATTAAAGATAGGGACAGAGAGCCACAGACATGGGAAGCGACTGCCTCAAGGTCACTTGGATGGTGAGGAACTGAGGTGGGAAAACCAGGCACATTGAGCACCAGGCCCAGGGATCGCACGATCCTCTTTTCTGTGCCGAGATGACTGGAACCTTTAACCCACCCGGAGCTCAGCAGATCAGGACCTGTGCTTGCTAATTAATGGATTTTTTTTCTCTAGCATCTGTAGCAGGCTGGGCACAGAGTATTTGAGCAAGTAGACATGCTCCCAGCCAAACAGTGGACTGTAAAATAACTTGGAAAGACTATGAAGGGAGAGAAAGAACGATGCACAAGCCTAGACTTCGCAGTGGCAGGTGGCCTGCTGAGGCGTGCTGGAAATGGCTTGCAAAATCCAGTACTGAAAGCTACCATGGGGTCGGCTTTGCCCTCGCCCCCTGCTTAGGCATCGCAGGGCTTCCACTTTAGGACAGGTGAGGCTGCGTATAGGGTGTTCCCCAAGCAGGAAAGCACCAGGCACTGCAGCCCATCCGTGGCCCCACCAAGTCCCAGGACCTCCCAGTCAGCCTCCTGCAGGGTCCGGCCAAGCTGGCCATCTGCCAGACCAGGACAGAGGCTCAGGCTCGGGGAGCCTGGCGATGTGGGGCTGTCTTCCTCCCTTCATGTCTCCAGGCAGTGTCACTGGCGGGTGCCCGCAGGCTCCCCCGACTCATTCAGGGGGCAGCGGGCGCTGGTGGGCGCGCTCTGCTCCGTGTCCCCTTGGATCCCTTGTTTTGCACCCATGACCGCGCTCCCTTCCCTGTTTTCTTTTCAGTCGTCCCAAGCCGTCAGCTGTCGCGCTCTCCCTTTCTAACGGGGCTCCCAGCTTTCACAACCAACAGGCCTGGAGAAGCTACCGGGCACCTGCTGCGCCCCTTAGGCAGCCTGGCTCTGCTCCCTGCCAACTGTGGGATACGTGGTATTTCTTTAAGTGCCAGCTCCTGGAGTCCAGGGATCGCGGGGGTTTCCCTGTCAGAGCAGCAGGTCCTGCAGTGCTGCTGCAAGGAGGACCCGCTGTCCTCCCCCAGAGCCAGGCACATCTCTCCCCCTGCCAGGGCCAGGCGCCTGCCCCAGCCCTGCCAAGGACGGGCACGGACCTTTCTGCCAGGAACCAACATGGCGGCACCACCACTACCACCACCGCCCGGGGCTTGTGCGCATGCGGAGTGAGGCACGGAGGCTTCGCGGCGCCCGGCGCGCTTCCGCCCGGCCGGCAGGAATTGACAACAATGAGAACTTTATTGACAGCGGCGCGGAGG